GCACACCCAGGGCTGGTTGTCCATTCGCTAATCTCTACCACCTCATTATCTTCTTGTACAGACTTTTGCTTCAACTGAACATTAAATTAATTTTATTGAATTATGGTCAGTATTTCAGAAAAAAAGATTAAAAAATATATATCTAAGATAAAGAAGCCGATATATATCTCTACAAATTTTATGACACAAAATGTATGTATATAAATGACATGCCAAGGATCGACGACTGCTCAGAACTTAACGTGCATTTAAAAATCAAGTGTAAGCCCAGTACATTCACAGAAGCAACAAAACAAACACATTGACTAATAAAGGTTGTATTTCCCCCAGCAAGTTAATGCCCACTGGCTAAGCAGAATAGCAAGATGTGTAATAAGTACATGTAAGCATTTTAACTTGAGAACTTAGGTCCAAAGATGAAGGGTTTCAGCATTCTATTTCTCAGACTAACATAACCAGTTACCAGAGTTGGCATCATGGTTCAACATATGTAAATTACATTTCAAAATTGCAAAGGATTGCAATCTCATTCTTTCTCGGCTGAAGACACTAACATGATAGAGATTAAACCAGAATTAGAAACATATAACTAAGAATGGTTTACAAATTTGTTAAAAATAAATATAACACAAACATTCCACAGTTAATCCAGTAGCATTCAGCAAACTTTGATTAAATGACCCGTGATATTTAGTGCCAGAGAAACAATGGAACCTATATTGAGGAAATCATCAGGCCAAATTAATGAATAGGTAAAAAATGATCCTAATTCCAATAAAAAGCATAACAACAATAAGAAATAAATCATTGTTCCCAACTAGTCAAGGTCAACTACAAATCCTCTCCAGCCAAAGAGTTCTACTGAGGGCAACTAGATAGTCCAAGTCCCATCATATCTACAACCCCAATTATTCGAATGTGGGATATTGATTAAGAGAAGGATATAGAACTTACAGCCCCCAAATAGTACCTTGAACTTTTTGGGGACAAGGACTACAGACAACATAAGGACATGTTGCAAGATGGGAGAAGGGTATGAAGATACCTTCAATTTGTCCCATATGGGAAGTGGACCATTATGTGGATAGTATTCAAGTCCTTACCCACCCAAAAAGAGCAAATTATAAGTACTCTTCTTTTGGAGCTCAGCCCACCTGGTCGCATGCTTGAGTTGTGACACTTTGCTTGGTCTAGGTGAGATCCTTGGTCGGACTGATAAGTACCCAGTTGGTAAGTAAACCTGTATCTGATGCTGCTTATATCTACTTATTTTTATGTATCTTTCCTTTAATCTAAGGGGAAACCTACAGTAACAAAAAAAAAAATCAAAAGCTCTCTATTTTAACCATTGCATCTTTATTATAATAGTTAATTTTACAATCCATTTTCCTGTTGAATAATAGGTCCCTCTCAACAATCACATGGCACTATAGTGATTCAACTATAAATCACATTTACTAATTTTAAGTAGGGATAGTGCCTTGCAACTAGGCTACAAGGCTTACCGATGGTCATCCAAAGCCACAAGTTGGGTATAGAACTCAATAATAGCTAGTTAAGCAAGCCCAAAGGTAGTGAAGGGAAACCATTCGCCACATAGATGAGAACATGTGCAGCATGTTAGATCTAATAGATTTTAGAAATTATAAGAATACGAAATAATTAATTATACAAAATCCATATTGTCCTTCAAGAACCACAATTTAAACATCTTTTTTCAAATAACTAGTTGGCAACTTACCTTACGTTCTGCAAACATTGGATATAAAACGTATAATATGAATATCTCATAAAACAGACAATACAAGAAGCTAAACAGGAGACAATTCTACTAAAGAATAATAGAAAATCTTGTAAAGGTTCAGAAAAGAGATGGAGGAATAAAAGCTGTGATTTCTAGCTCACATTCTTCAGCATATGAAGTTTAATCATCTATACTAAGCAGTGACTAAAATGATTTGTGCAACTAAAATTTTAAGCAGTATTAGCCTTTAGAAATAAAGTCTGTAAAGATCCTATTCATGACTTCCTCCTTAAGCTCAATCTCTCCAAAGATGCAACATTGACATGTTTTTGAATTAAGGGTGCTTTTCATCAAGTAATATCCCACTAAATAATGAACCAAGTTAGCCACTAAATATAATATAACTACAATTTCAGTTTTTTTTTTCATTTGAAAGATTATAAAGTGTCAGTATCTAGTTCTTCAGTTATTTAGGATGGCATGGCTCCCTATCAAGCTTGCTATTTCTACCATTTCTATAGAATGGTTGACCTAAAACTACAACCATATAGATCTTTTTCAGAACCAAAATTTTGGATTAGGGAATTAATCAAAGACGCAAGCAATTAAATAATTTCACAACCTTGTGGTATTCTATCATATATCTAACAAGATATCCTCGTATAACAACAATATAGATCTATTGATAGGCTTTGATCAGTAGCTAAACACTCTTGCAACTTCTATTGATAAATACAATAATAGCAACTTATATAGATGGACTGGTTCCAGTAGCATCCTTTCAGGAAAACCATGACCTGATATTTTACTACTGAAATTTCAAAATTTTATAATGATTTAGTCTAGAATCCATACAGATGCATGGATGTCATGAAGGTGTCAGATAGAAGTCTCCTAACTCCGAGACATTCATCATCCAAAATGAAGCAATAGAAGGGTGAGACAAAGTTTAAAATACATGTCCATTGAAGCTATTGGACAGGTGCTTACCAAGGTACCAAGAAATATAATTTGAATCAAACAATAAGAATGAGTGACACATTGAGCAACATCGAGGTGTTTGGTTCAATATCAATGCTTGGTCAGACCAGTTAATACCAATCAATATGTACCAATCCGACCAAGTAGTTTAGACCATAGAGTGAGGAGAATTTTACTTCATTGCAAACTCAATTGCTATAGTCCATTTTACTTGTGAATTTAGCATAGGATCAATATGATACAATTTTCAAAAAAGCCCAAGTGGTCTTTGAATTTCATGTTTCATGCTGATAATACCCACAATTAAAAAAGTCCACCATTCCCATAAATGATACTCTCTTTGGCCCTAATTTGAGTAGACCATTAGCCCTAAAAACTAAATTCAGGTGAGGACAAAGACAAAACAAGATCGTCATTAAACCTATATGTTAGATATTAACATAGTACCAGTCTTGAGTGTCTCTGCATTATATTCCTAAATATCGCAACTCTCAAGTGAAACAACAAACTCATGAAAGTTGATATTCCAAATATAACTCAATGTGAAGAACAAAAAGAAAGGAAACTCATAAACAAGCGATGACATGAAACTCCTAAATTGGAATTTGGCAATTCCAAATTCCTAGAATCTAAATTCTTCACAACAGGAACATCCAATTCATCCCAATATAAAATCCTACGCTTACAAGCTCACCAAATAAACAAAAAAAAATAGCACATGAGAAGAACACGAGCAGGAAAATCATCCAGTTCATCAAAAGGATAAAAAATAGTCCGACAAACCTCCACCAGAAACTCACTGGTGTCTTAATAACGAGGGCGTCGGCCATCTCATCTCTGCCGCCCCGACGCCCGTCGAACCTGTGGTACTCATCCGGAGAGACGAACGGCGGCCTCGACGAGGGGAACTGCAAGTACTGCTTCGGCGGCTGGAAGATCTGTCCCAGCTGCTGCGCCGATCGGTTCCCAGCAGCCTGGCCGCCGGACATCAACTCGGACCAGATCAAACCAACGGGAATCTAGCAAGAAAGCACCGGTCCGGGAGCAAGGCGAGGAGATCGGCTCGGGGGGCGAAACCCGCCCTCAAAACCCTAGTTCTGGGTGCGATTCGACGGCGGAAACGGCAGGGAGGATGCGATCGGGGGAGAGGTTGGAGGATTGAGGGAGATCGGACTAGGGTTTCGAATCGGAGATCCGAGGGGGGAGAGAACGCGGAGGGAAGAGACTGCAGAGGGTGGAGAAAACGGAGAGCGGAATAAAAAGGGAGGAAAAAAACAAGAAGGGGAGGCGAGGGAGGGAAATTATAGTGTTCGGGCTTCGGATAAACATGTGGAGGGAAGGCGTGTGCCAAATAACACTACCAACACTCCAAAATGGCTCCCCTGAAGCGCCACCACTCAGCCAATCTTTGTGAAGGCGACAGGCTGTCGTAGTCCATATGAAATGGAGTGGAACAAACTCCACATCGAATTTTGGTGTATAAGAGACTCACAGGGAAATGGGTTGCCCTTTTTCCCTACTTTTGGTTCCTGCGGGAACTTTGTCAAAAAAACAGTTTTCCTTGCTTGCAAACCTACCTGTCTCTCTATTGGCGTAAGAAATGTTTCACATCCTGGGTCCCGGTGGGCCCCGCGAAGTCGCTAAAGGTGAAGCCGGGTGGACGGTCGGGTGACGACGAGTGTTGTTATTCTTCGTGGAGTGGTCTTAGTTCGAACCAGCGATTCGCGCGCTTTCGGGAACGAGTCCTTGCGATCCAATCTGTGGGGAAGGGAGCCACTGCGATCGCAGGGGATCAGAGTGGATCATTCGGTTTGCCTGCGACCGGACTCAATGTCTGCTTTCTTGGACCAGACGATGTCCTGTTTCCAAGAGCAAAAGATGAAGATAAAGGAAACGATGATAAAAGCTTGTTTATGCGAAAGCATATATTTATAATCTACCTTTTAATTAAATTCAGAAATTGGACTCGATTTTAAGGTATATTTAATTAATAATAAGGAGATATAATATTTTCTAATTATGTGAAAATATTTATGTGTGGGTATATATATATATATATATATATATATATATATATATATATATATATAATATTTGTCAGGCAAAATCCGCAAGTATAAATAGGCCGCGGATTTGGTTCGATTCCGGATCAAATTAATCTGACGGAATCGGGTTTAGATTTGAATCATCCAAACATACCCGTATCCGCCTTCCGTTCGTTCGGCCTATAAACCGAAACCCATTCCTGCTCTTCATCTCAAACCAGAGCGAAGCGGGCGCGACAGGCGAGAGAGAAGGAGACGGAGAGAGCTCCATCTCGCCATGGCTCCTTGCTCCCTTTCTTCCTATTCTTATAGAAGGATTTAACTCCAATGGGTTCTTCTTCGCGTTACCTTGTTGGCTTCTGATCAGAGATCATCATCGAGGATTTCCACCGTCGATAGATGCATGCGAGGTCGCATAGCATTGTTTAGGTAATAGCAGACCTAAAAGCTTTGAGATCATCGATTTTTCCCTTCATCATTTAGTGTGCTTGTTGTTTTGAGCATTTCTTTGGGATTCTGTGATTGACAATCTCTATTGTTATATGTATTTAGTTGGTTACAACATGTAAAATCGAATGACTGATGAAATTGAATATCCAATTTTATTGTTTTGGATCATGTACAACAGCCACTGGGGCATGAAATCATCATGAATCGAGACCAGGAAACAGTATCAAAGTTGAAGGGGATAGAGGAAACTAGGTCGTTGTGTTTGAACCATTGATCTGTTGCCTCTCGTTGGATATTAATGATTCTGACTCAGTTCACAGATTGCATTAATCGCAACCTGTACGTCATGTCGATTTTTTTTGCTGCTATACACTTGATAGCATAGAGACCATCATCTGCACTTTTTGGTTATAAGAACAAATCGAGGGTAATAAGACCAATAAGAAGACCAGTTAAACAAACATTGTGCACTTTTGGTAGCAATACCTGTAGATTAAAGAAGTCTTCCTTCAGGCCATGAATCTTTTGTTGTGTGGACCATAATTTAGGTATTCTTCTTGCAGTGTATGGAACATAGAACCTTTCCTCAATATTGTAAATATCCCATCTGGAGTTCTCCCATCACGCATGACAACGACAGGTCAGGGGGATTGGAGATTTGGAATTAGTAAATTAATTTCAGAATCTTATGCTGCATATCAGGTAAGAACAGTCGATTGCAGAACACTCAAGAAAGAATTATAGACAGTGTTGGTCGATGAAGTTCAGTTATTACATGACAATTAAGAAGTGGGTGGCCAATCGAGGCCTCACATGAGTGCAATCAGCAAGGAGTATGTGGCACCATCTAGGCATGACCAATTAATGATGCAATGATGTAGTGCTTTTTAAGCATGCCCAATCGGCATTACATCTAAAAGGGAATATTCCCCATTGATGTCTCAAATGTCACAACTATACCTACAAAATAAGGCCTCTTGAGGTATATCGACACTTTGAACTCTCCAAACTGGACTTAGTTTCTTGATCTTATTACTGACTTGATGAGTACGCTCCCAATATAGTTTTGTAGAATCATGTGGTTTGGGAGGATGCTACTCTCTAGAGAGCAGGATGCAAAGAGGCATACAGCTCAGACATTCTCAAGGGGCATTACGTTTTCAATCATGACACATTTTGAAAGCAGATTATCTGGTCTTCTGTCACGAACGGTCGTCGTTCACCTGCAACAACTTCGTTCAACGAACTATTCGTCACTTTTGCATGCTTGTATCGAGTCATGACAACATGTTTTGCCTTAGTTTTGTGTGTTTTTGCTTATAAAAATACATGTTTGAATATATTGCAGCGCTGTAGTGCGATCGCTTGTCGCGTCGAGCTGAACTGCCCAAAACAGCTCCGTTTTCACGTGCCACGGCTTGTTTTCGGCAAGCCGCAGCTGCACGCGAAACGTCAACCATCTCAGCACCCTGGAACCCCCTAGGTGGCACAGGGCTGGATGGGGCTTCGGTATATTATCGGGCATTGAAAAATCTTCACAAGTTCGCACGTTAACTTAACGGGAACTTGCCTTCACGCCCGGCACCCGGTGAGTAGTTGTTTGTGGACTTGTAACTGTTCATTCTACCTTCTAAAGTCTTTTTTCTCCTTCCTCTCTTTTCTCTCTTGTACTCAAGGTGCTTGTTGAATTGCTTGTAAAGCTTCCCTCTCCGCGAGACGTCGAGACTTGTCCGTCGCTCATTTTCAATCTAATTAACTTTTTGTTTTACAGGTCCTTCAGGCCCTGTACGAGGTTGCAACTAGGCTGAACCTTTGCGGACGCATATGTCACAAGGGCGCCTTATGACTTAGGCAATCCCAGCTAAGTCCGATGAGTTGGCACAAGGGTGCTTCACGACTTAGGCAACTTCAGCTAAGTTCGTGACTTTGCCGCAAGGGTGCCTCACGAGTTAGCAATTCCAGCTAAGTCCGTGACACTTCGGTGGTAACATATTAAAAAAGAAAGTCAGGTCAAGTTAAATTCACCACGTCAGATTGATGACCAAAAATGACACTGATATAAGATAACTTTGTCATGTATGATATTAAATGTATTGCTTTGGAGGGACTATTGATCATTGACAAGAAAGGAGTGATTTCACATTCAAACATTACTAGACCTTGTCATTGGCCAAAGTGTTGATGAACCATGAGGACCCTTCAGGTAACAAAAGATGAAATACTTACGCAATTATCACTCATGTAGGTATGCTATGATTCACTAGATGATTTTCTACTCATGTTTTGCTCTATCATAGCTTGACATCTGTCTGAGAAGATCATAAAGTATACCCAACCAGAGGATTTCTAGCTTGCACCATGTGCTTCAGCTAGCAATATTGTTGCAGATCTTTAAATCTAGCTTTTATGGTTCTTCGGCATTCTATACATAACATATAACATATTTTAGGTGGATTGAATCACAGTTGATGATTCCATAAATTAATTGGCCCAACCATACCTTCCAGTTTTATATATACACCTCATATTGCAGGCATTGCAGCACATCCAGGAGAACACAGATGAGGTTGGCCCTGCAGGATGGAGGCCTCGAGAGAAGTCCATGAAGCCAGACCCTCGACAAGGAGTGCCTGGCAGGGGAACAGTATAATTGCAACTACAGCAAAAGGCATTCCATTGTCTGAAATAGTTAGGAGTTTTGTCACTCTTAGTGCATTTACCCAACATTCTCTTATTGTAATATAATGTTTTGCCATTATTGAGCTTCAGACATCTAGTACTTGACCCAATGCTTAAACTGTATGCAATGAAGCAGAAGCACTCTGGACTCATAAACCACATGTTGTCAGATTTTGGGCATGAGTTCATTATGAGATAAAGCAGATCTCCACTTTGCAGCTTTTGTGCAAGCAAGGTATCTTGGCTGCTTGTTATTAAGCTAGTTGATGTTCAACATGTAGTACTTGACCCTATACTAAAAGCTCTATGCAATGAAGCAGAAGCACTCTGGACTCAGAAGCCACATGTCAGATTTTCAGCATGAGTACATTGTGAGACAAAGCAGATCTCCACTTTGCAGCTTTCGTGCAAGCAAGGTATCTTGGCTGCTTGTTATTAAGCTTGTTGATGTGCCATATTATTATACCTACATGTATCATGACTTGTGCATCATACTAGCTGAATTTTTCATTGTTACCAGGCAGGGCAGCTTAGTAACATTTATAAGTTACCATTTTGAAATTATGATACCAGGATATTTTAACTTGTATTATTTGTCATGTTCACTGCACAGGTTTTCTTATGTGAACAGGGGACTGATTGGGCAGCACACCACGGGTTCAATCAAAGCTTTGCAGTTTTGCAAACAAAGCTTGGGGTTTGTTAAATTCATGTGTGAAATTTTCCAAAAAATACATTCATTGATGCAGACTGTCACATTCATGAACGTAGAAGTTTCAAGCTTTAAAAGAGTTTTCACGTTTTCTTTCTCTGTTCAACCTAGTGATGGACCACCTTTTCCCAATTCCGAGGGCTTATTTAGGCTTCTAATAGCAGTCACGATGTTGGAGTTATACTCAACAGAGGCTTATGGTCTTATTTGTTGGATTTCGACTGTAAGTACAGAGAGTAATTGAGCAAGCAAACCTCTAGAGAGAATTTACTTTGCATTTTATGATCTCGATTTATAGCCTAGGCCCTGATAAGATTCTCATGTCCAAGGCACCATGTCCATGTCCATGGATGGCCAGTAATGTTGTGATAGACAGCAGATAATTTCACTTGACGGGCATTTGCTAAGTGATCAAGGCTACATTTGATTTTAAAATGTAATTGATACAGTGAATAAAGAGTCGCAAGTTTCATTTGAATCAGATCTCAAGTATATGAATTTTGTCTTTTTTGACATGGCCGATGTGAATTGGAGTTGAGGATACAACTGCAATGTTTGCAACAATAAGATTGTGTACATTAACTCTTTCAAAATCTTATACTGGTAGAAGCCTCATACATTAATTTGATTGTATTTTGTTCTCTTCAAATGCCACTAAAGCACCTCTCCATGAAAACAACCTTACTGAAGGAATCCTACAGACATCCACATTTAATGAAATAAGCCTTTTAGGATAAGAGAGGGCTGCAGGATTGTGATACATTTAGGAAAACTGGTTGTATCTTTGACACAAGGACCATTGGTTGATTGATATTGTTTGGTATATTAACTACTTATCTTTCTACATAGGTTGTCTGGAACTGTGTTTCTTGCCACCTGAATTGCTTTGGCACACAAGATCCGAGGCTATCAATGATGCTAATGGAAGGTCACATCAAAAAAATGAGGCAGAAATTTGCAAAGACAATGCCTTGTAATGCTTTTTGATGTTACTTTGCTAATAGTGATTTACTCAAAAGCAAAGATGGTAAAGAGGTACTCCTCTTGATTTCTTTTCAACCATCAAGTGCATTGAGTGGTGTGCAAGCTTTCAAACAGTGTTTCCTTAGAAATGGAGAAAGGAGGCAGAACTAAGGACTTTACTGCATTCATACAGATAATTTTTTTCCTTCAGGCACGCCTTTAATGGCATTGCTGGTTGCTTTTACCTTACTAATTATTAGATAATGTCCTTTTGATGTCTTTTGGGCCATAGCATACTAAAGCTTTTGACTGTGACTGTGACTGTAAGACTGACTTGAAAAGGAGAGCATGAGACAGATGCAGCAGATAATCTTTCAGCATTTAGGAGAGAGAGACAGAGAGAAACATTGTATCTAACTCGCTGTTCCATGCACAAGATTGTAGCAATTTATTCTTTTGAACAAAAATGTTCTACAAAATGGATTCAGATATTTTGTCAGCAGTGGTTGAGACACCAGTCTTCTCTTCCTGTTATGAGCATAAAAGAAAATAGCATATTAGGTCATCAATTTATCAGATGATTAAGAACTTATTATCTTTACTTTGTCCTGTTCAATCTCTTTCTTATGCAGGCTGATTGGTGGTGGGTGCCAAAGAAATTATCTGTGCCAAACGAGAAGTTAACATGATTGAGGAATGAAGGGAGATCTCTTGGAAGGTGTGTGGTCTTTTTCCCTCTCCCTCCCTCCTAACACCAAAGTGAAGTGTCTAGCTCTGCTTTCCATGAAATTGTCCGGGACTTAAAACGATTATATTCTTAAGACATCTTTTTACTGCCATTGATCAGGAAATGAACTATCACATGCATATAAAGAAGCAATTCTTAGAGTAGTCACGAAATAAATCTTGTTGTTGAATTAAAATATGTTCTTTTGGTATGCAGATACTGGAGTTACCTGTCCACCTATCTAGGGAATTTCATTCTATTCACTTATTTTAAAGAAAATAGGGTTTTCAGATGCATAAAACTTGTCCTGAACTAGATTGGGTGTTTGCATATGAAGAAGGGAGAGAGAGAGAGAGAGAGAGAGATGGGACTAGTAAACTAAGAACATATGCTCATCCAAATCATCAATCCATTGGCACAAACTAGTGATTGTTTCGTGTATAAATAGATAAAAAGCAATGGTAGTCCAAATTTTTTAGCATAATTTTTGCTGTTTAATTTCTTTTAACAAGCCTCTTTATGTTCAGTTCAAAGAGAATATAGCCTTGCATGTCTTCTCTACTTAAGTTTAGGATAAATGATTACTGATGTATTTTTCATTTATGATATTAAAGCAGGACATGAGTTTAAATTCTGAGATGTTAGACATTAACTATAGACTGAATGAACAAAAATTAAAGCACTACCTTCACATGATGAATCCAGTAGTAAGTGGTAACGTAATGAAAAATGCTCCATTAGGTGTTCTTGTTTATAACAATACATGAGTTCTTCAAATAAAGCATTTCACAAAAAGAAAGCACATTCCTGCCTGTTCATTTCAGGGCAGCATCTCCATCTTTAAAAGGTGTGCATCAGCACTGTAGTGACTTGGTTCTATTTATTCGCTGCAGTACACAGCTTGAACTATAACTTGGTTGATGATATGACAAGAAGGAATACTGACGACGTTCTCTACTTTCCTCTTTCACAGCCAGCAAAAAGAAGTGTGGCTCATGCAATCACTTTCCGCCACCACCAACTTAACCTCTGTCACTAGTTCGCATCAGTTATAACTCAAGTCGCCACCAGAAGAACCGAAGGGCAACAGGTGGGGGAGTGGGGTTGGTCGAGGTGGCTTGCTCCTCATCGTGCCACGGCTGCTGCTGGCGTCTTAGTCGTCCACCGAGTTGTGGCAGTGCTTTCACGTACTGCTACAGTATCACGCACTCACCTCCATATAAACTAAGAATCCCACCATCTCTACTGTATAGACTGCGGTCATCTCCATTCCTATTTCCTCCCTCCTCCTCCTCCTCCTCCTCCTTCCAACTCCTTTGCAGGCGAATCAGGACAAACCCTAAAACCATTCCTCTGTTCCTTCTCTTGTTATCTGATACCACCACCTCAACCGCAGGCCAATCTGCAGAAGATGAGAACAGGGAGTTGCAGCGTGCAACAAGGCTTGACGCCGGAGGCTGCAAGCGTGGTGAGGCAAGCCGTATTCCTAGCCCGGCGGCGAGGCCATACGCAGGTGACACCCCTCCATGTGGCCAATACCATGCTGTCTTCCCCCACAGGTCTCCTCCGTGCCGCCTGTCTCCGCTCTCACTCTCACCCCCTCCGCTGCAAGGCCCTGGAACTGTGCTTCAACGTCGCCCTCAACCGCCTCCCGGCGTCGGCGCCCTACCACGCCCGCCACCATCTCCCCTCCCTCTCCAACGCCCTCGTGGCGGCCTTCAAGAGGGCACAGGCCAACCACCGGCGCGGATGCGTCGAGGCCCAGCAGCCGGCGTTGCTCGCCGTCAAGATTGAGCTGGAACAGCTCGTCGTCTCCATCCTCGATGATCCGAGCGTGAGCAGGGTCATGAGGGAGGCTGGCTTCTGCAGCACTCAAGTGAAGAGCAATGTGGAGCAGTCAATCTGCACGGAGACCTGTGTTGCCACACCTCCCCAAGCAAGCACAACCAAGCCTGCAGCACCCGCGGTGAAGGACGACGACATAGCGAGCGTCGTGGAAGCATTAGTTAGCATGGGCAGGAGGAGTCTTGTGGTGGTGGGAGAGTGCTCGGATACCATTGATGCTGTCGTGAGAGGGGTGATAGATAGGGTTGATAGGGGAGAGGTGCCCGTGGCTCTAAGGAATTCAGAGTTCATCACGCTCCCACTCTTCTCTTTTAGGCACATGTCAAGGGAGGAGGTGGATCAGAAGGTTGCGGAGCTGAGATGCCTCTTGAGGAGATGTTGTGTGGGAAGAGTGGTTGTCTTGTACCTGGGGAACCTCACATGGATCTCTCAGTATAGGGTTAGCTCCGGGGAGAAGGGAAGAGGTCCTTTTTGCCCAGTGGAGCACGTCGTGATGGAGATCAGCAGCTTGGTCTGTGAGGGAGTTGAGGTAGAGAGCAGTAGCAGGAGATTATGGCTCATGGGAACTGCAACATATCAGACCTACATGAGATGTAAGATCGGACAGCCTTCACTGGAGACTCTTTGGGGTCTTCAGCCTCTCACCATTCCATCTGACAGCTTGGGATTAAGCCTCAAATGTGAGAGGTAAACATGCTTTCATCTGCATCATTTGGTCATACCTAACTTCATAATCCTTGAATTTATGACACAATGTTTTGTACGTAGGGAAATTGCACACATCTAAACCTCCATTTTTCTGACTCTATTTCTCCATTATGCAGTAGCCATCGTGCAGTAGCTCCAACTCTACCTTCATGGCTCCAACAGTACAAGGAAGAGAACAGGAGATGTAGCGATGATCAGGTAAAATTACTAACCCTCATTGATGTATAAAACCTATGGATTGGGTTGATACAATGATGGTATAACCTTTACCTTGTACTCTCCTTGTAGAGCTGCTGTATACTGGAAGATCCCTGCAGGGGGTGGAACTCCGTGTGTAGCTCAGCTCTCAAAAGCCAGCACAGACCATCTGATCTAACCTTTAATTTCTCTTCGGCTTCTCCGTGTGATTCTTCTTCTTCTTCCATCTCTTCCTATGATCAACGCCCTCCGAGCTTGCATCAGAACCAGCAGCATTGGCTACTACAGCTTGAGGTCACAGACCCATGCAAAGGTTACCAGCTTCGGTCGTCGGAATCCACCGAGCAAGAAGGCTTTGAACATGACTCAAGAAGCAGCATACCCTATGTTAACCTCGACTCTAACCCTAACTCTTCTGCTTCAAGCAGCACCATGGAAATGGAGTATATTCCGAAGTTCAAGGAGCTCAATGCCGAGAATCTAAAGATCCTTTGCAGTGCGTTGGAGAAGAAGGTCCCATGGCAGCAGGAGATCATCCCTGAGATCGCTAGCTCCATCCTGCAATGCAGAGCAGGAATGACGAAGAGGAAAGAGAAGTCGAGGTCTAATTACGAGAACAAGGAAGAGACATGGCTGTTCTTCCGAGGCGATGATAGTGAAGCCAAGAAGAGGGTAGCTAAGGAGCTTGCAAGCCTCATTTTCTGCTCTAAGACTAACTTCGTTTCGATTGGTCTCAGCAGCATTTCATCACCTCGTTCAAACTCCAAAAAAAGGTTGAGAGAGGGTGCAAGCCATGGCCATCTTGAGAGACTGTACGAAGCAATCAACGAGAACCCGCACCGTGTTATCTTCATCGAAGACACCGAGCAAGCGGATTACCGCACTCAAGCTGGTATGAAGACCGCGATAGAAAGAGGAAGAGTGTGCGGTTACGGCGGTGAGGAAGTCGGTGTAAGTGATGCAATCATCATCCTCAGTTGCAAAAGCTTCAATCCTCCAGCGAAGTACAAGGCCTCAAAGAGTGATGATGAGAAGGAAGCGAAACTGCTTCTTCCTTTGGATTTGAATCATTGTGCTTCTGATGATGATGGTGGCGTGGATGATGTTGGGCTTCCGGAGATGGTGGATCGGACATTCTGCTTTGAGTTGCCGGAGGACCTGTAATGCAGCGTATGCTGTATCCTCCAAAGCTTCCGGAGGATCTCGTTAGTTTAGGCGAAGTTTGAAGAAAACACTTGTAGATTGAACTGGTTTATGGGTTGGGATATGGAGTTATTGCATGTTATAGCTTTCTTATAATTTTCCTTAAAACATGATGAAATTGCTGTACCTCTTTTCATCTCTCAAATCTATTCATGAATCAGCTAAGGGAACTTTTTCCGGTCTTCCTTTCATTTGCTGCACTGAGAAACAAATGAATGTTGTTGTGCGGCACGATCGATGAACAAATTCTCTCCTTCCCCTGTGTTAGATTTGCTGGAACAGAGAACCACTTTATCAGATCATTGGAATATTTGAGCACACTCTCAGGAACTCATTGGGCAACATCGATCAAAGTTGTTTCCATAGTGGGCACATCATGACGGGTACATCATTTCAGCAATGGAGGAACACACTAACGATGTGCTTGTGGTTCCTTCCTGCTGCATCTTCCAAACCCGTTTTCATCATGAAGAGGACACGGAAAATTTTCTTCTGCATGATATAATAGCACATTCGGCGTGTTTCCATTACCCGAGTTTCCTCCCTTTCTGCAGGAGAACAAGCACTCCCCACAGGTTTAAGATAATGGCAACCTCCACTTTTCCGTGTCTTTGTCTTTGCACATAGTGCGTGCAGTCACTTTTATTTGGATTGATCACTAATTGGCACTAACGCTAAAGAGTATTGTCACTACTTTCCTTGTAGGATCCATCCATTACTTTGATCCTGACATCATGGGAGTTGCTATCTATCACCTATGACTAACATCGGAATGCACAGAGAGAATCGATTTAGTCAAGAGGTGTATGGTGTGTGTAGCAGACAAAAAAACTAGTCGATTGATTGGAGCATGATCGTGGTTTAATATACGTATCATAATCACGATAAGGCTTGTCAACTTAGGAGAGGTAGAAACTGCACTGAGGTGATGAAGAAAGGACGGAGTGCAGGAGGAGGCATGACTTGAGAATTATGCAAAGGGAGGGAGAGGTTGATCACTTTGGCAGCAAAAGCATGGAAACTCACTTGAGAATTATCAAAAGGGCACTGCTTTTTATGCGGGGTGATGAAACTTGGAAAGGAATCCCTTTTTCTCTGCTTTAGATTTCACAAACCAGCTTTGTAGACTATCAAAAGTAGTGGGGTCAAAATATTAATGCAAGATAAAGCTAAGCATCCCAGTCTTTTAGACCTTAAAGTTTGTTAGCTCAGAATCCTAAAAAGCTCCCTCTCTCTCTCTCTCTCTCTCTCTCTACCCCACACAAAACCCAGTTGCAAGGAGAGAACCTGTCGTGTGTGCCTCTCAAGAAAGATTAGCATCTAACGAATGCAGTCTTATCAAAGCATCTCATGTTAAAAGTCAAGTAAACCTAGCCATATCTGCATAAGCTACCTAATTCCTTTTTTTTTTTGTGTGAACATAAACGATATATTTTGAGGAGGAGGAGGAGAAGAAGAAGAAGCAAAAGTTTGTAATAGGATTCCAATAAAGAAATTATTTTTAGTGGATTATTGATAGTTGAATTATTTTAAAAACTCAATCTTTACGAGGCTAAATGTTTCCTCAACCCGACTTCTTCAAGATAAATTCATGCTACTTGACTTAAGCGTTAAGACGATCTCATCATACACTTTCAACATCATCTGTAAAACTAGCATCGAAGGGTGTCTAATGAGATCATTTATGTCGCTAAAAGTCAATAAGAGATCTAGTTTGAGAACTAAAAGTAAGATTTCAAATCTTGAATAATACTTGAGTGACTCTTGAGATGAATATGTACGGAACAAAGAATATTTCAAAAAAATTCTTACCTCTAGCTTATGGTATTACGGCAAGTCTGATTGACTTAACTTGATTGACCTTAAATATTGACGATACCATAAAACTATGCGAAGTTTGTTGTCTCATCATAAATAATATTCTTCTCTATAGAAGAAGAAGGTTGTAGTAGCAAGTAAAAGAAAAGTCTGTAACATATGAGTCTAGGGAAGTCAAAGTCATCAGCTCAAGTTAATTATTCTGTGGCATATCACCACCACAGTAGTGCAGTCATCACCATTGTGTCTGCCATCTTGTGATAATGGATAACATACATTACTGCATTAGAGTATAGTAGCAAAAGCATGAAATGAGTTACCAATGCACAAGAAGCTACTTTCTTAGTTAGAAAGCCGAAAGCAGCACCTGTTAATGCCTACAGAATTGTTACCTAAATTTAGAACCTCTTGATTATTATTTACTCTGGGTTAATTAGTTCCTAATCCATCTTTAGGCCGGTCAACCGAAGAATCTTAAGGTTTACTCGATGGGATGATTGATCCATTAACTTAGTAATCCTAAATTATATAGTCCAGAATAATTAAGCCTAAATCATGTTAATAGACTCATCATTGAGTTTTTAGTCCAGAACTAAACTTGACCTAGAATTTAGCGTAACTTTGGTTTATTCACTAAATTTTTCGTTAATAGATTCGTCGTAATATTATTTGTATACGATCCGATAATTAACTCGTTAATTTGATGAGCCTAACTCAAAATAATTAACTAGACCCATACGACATAAGATTATATCGAATTCTAAAATGTGATTATGCTCAGTTCATTATCATGATTTGTTTTACAAATACCAAATACAAGAGAGTAGATTAAGTTTATTTGTGCGTTCTGCCATGATTCCTTTGACCATTTCAAGCTCTTTGATACCATAGCTAGCAAGCATTTCCAGGACTAGTAGCATACACCTAACTACATGTTATTGGTGTCAAGTCTGCAAACAATGAGTGCACAGAAGCATATGCAGATCCCATCATCCTCCAACACAAACACTCTCCTCTCCTGATGTTAAGCTTTCGCAAGACATGTTCTCTTTCCAAGTCACAGCCTTGTGGAAGTCCACTGCATTCATATTCCTTGGATCGAGTAAATTAATTGCATCGGACCAACTTGTAATGGCGGTGGTGTTACCAGCAATGGACCAAATTGGCTGATCACTGAAATAAAAGTTAAAGATGGGTATGAATAATATTATGAATGAGATGAGAAAGAAAGTCACGAGGACTAACATCCTCGAACTTTGCAAAGGCTAATTAGGTGTTCATCCTCGTTGGGTTGATTCCTTCTCTAATACTTTTCTCTCCCACCATGAATGATGAGCCACCACAAAAAAGGACATGATTCTTTATATCTCGTATCATCTCTCCTCTCTCTCTCTCTCTCTCTCTCTCTCAGCACATCAGCTTTTACAACAAGTTTTAATATTAATCTTTTCCTATCTTTTTACTAGATTGATATATTCGAGATATTAAGAGAAATAACTTTAATCTCATGACTATATTTAGATGCTCATTTTTAGCTCATAAAAATCATGTTTATTTATAGACAAGAGCAGAAGGTCTAGAATAAGTTATTAGGAGAGTTTCTCCCATCAAGATTATCTTCTAAGGAATCCTATAGCATGAACTTCTTTTCTATTGATCAATAATCATAATCAAGATCCAATCATATTTAGAATATATCTTACCTAATTAAATAGAACCACATAATCTAACAATTTAATTATGAACAATATTTGTTTGATTAAATTTAAAAATAATAAAAATATGAGACACATTATCATAACGTAAATATAACCATAATCAGAATAATCAACAAATATATATGACATGATATACACATGTAAATTATATAAACCCTTAATATACTTGAGAAATTTATAAAGTTAATATTGACAAAAAAAATTATTTTATATATAGGGTGATTGTCTTATAAAATGCCCTCTTTTTTTTGGGTATTTCTCGGATGATACCCTCATTTTTTATTTTTTTCAACTAGTCATCCCATATACAAAAATATTACTCCAAAAACTGTCATGTTTTTTTCTACCCATTCCAAAATCTATCATTTTGTTTTTTCGCTCATTCCAAAAGCTATCATGTTTTTCAGTGTTTTATGAGTTTTTATCCACAAAAATATTATAATTTTAATTGAAAAATATTATATAGTAAAAAAAAATACTATAAGATTAGTTCAAAAACACTATATAGTTATGAAGTGTATATTGATATCATTTTGTTTCAAAACATTAAGTCTTTATGTTACCATTATAGTGTTTTCTGATTACAAATAAAAACACCATAAAGACTTCAAAAAAACATTATAATTATTTATTTTAATCACTTTTTTTAGAATTTATGGTGGAAATAATGTATAGTACAATTATGTATGAATGAACGAAAGAATGATGAAATTTAAGGTTTTAGGATATCTTTATGTTGTTTTTATATTGTAACACATTTTAATGACTTAAAAAAAAACACTATAATGATATATTTTGATCACTTTTTTGAAATCAATGACAAATGACATTATGGTGTAATTATGCATATGGTATGTATTGTAAACACTTGGACTGGCTCATAAAATAAAGTAGGTTGAATTTTTAATAAAAAATATGATATTTATATATTTTTTTAATTATTTTTACGGTAATTTTGTGATGTCGTCGAAAATATATCATTAAAAATTAGATCAATAATATCTAATCCAGTAAAACAGTTTAAATTTAACCCACAATTTGTCAAGACTTAATGTGAATGTTTTGAGATAAAATAATATCGATATATAATGTTTTTGAACCAATCTTAGAGTATTTTTATGGATAAAAACTCATAAATCACCGTAAATAGTTTGACTGATCCACCAATCCATAGAGTGAATTGATTCTTGACGGCAAAACACATGGCAGCTTTTAGTGGAGCATTATTTTACTTGTTAGGCTGGTGGGAGGCTCCTCACTAAGAGGAAGGGCAGCAGCAGAATGATCCATGATCCAGGGAGATTGGTTTGGGAGCTGAGAGAGGATGGTGATGAACACAAGACAAACAGATGGTGGGTGGGCATAGGCCGAGACCTTGCTTTGTGGAAGAGAAGAAAGGTAAAGGTCTGATGAGCCAGGTTTTGGGGACGAAACTTGTCTGACTCTTAGAAAGAGAGCTTGTTCAGATGGTGGAAACCTGCTGCTGCTGCTGCTGCTGCTGCACTGGGTGGGTTTCATCAACTCGATGAATACTAGTATACCACAACAAACTGAGGAAGAAATATAAACCTCTCCATAAAGCAAGGTGTACGTGTTGATGTAGACAACA